AATAATTGTCTCAGTAAATGCCCAAACCCTACAGAACTGGTGCCTTCAGAGAGCCACTATGATTACATATTTGGCGTCCCTGAACCGGTTTTCCCTACACACATTATAAAAACTGAATTGGAAGAAAAAACAAAGATGTAGCATGTAACATGAAAAAATGTGTCACTAACAGAACCATTAATCTGTTTAATCTGTTCAGTAGATGTACAATCAAATAACAACAGTAAAAATGTAAACAAATCAATATTTGTTCTGTCAATTATATAGCTGTATGTTGCATTTCCAGCTCTGTTGACCACACCAGTTTATTATTTCTTAATACAATTAGTTGACAGAAAAGAGGTTTTTAGAAAAGAGAGGGATCCATTAGCCCCAAGGAACTACATTTACTGCTGCCTTAACAAGATAAATAAGGTTGGCACATGCAATGCACAATGTTGCCAATTAAGCTTATTAATTTGAAACAATTGCGCAAACACCATAACAGGGCATTTCTTCCAGTTTTCATTCCAACTCAGCACTTAGTTGTTTATTTCCTTATTTCATCAAGATTAATGTACTATTTCATCAGTAACTGGTAATATCTATAGATCTGTAAGTACTGGGACTGTTCAGGCCAAGGGTCTAATCCTTTAATAAGTTTGACCAATTCAACTCGCTTCCAGAATGTAAGCAGACAATGATTTACAGAAGGCAAGAGAATATGTCTAGTATCAGTATCCTGTGCCTTGAAGCTTAGTTATTTGCCCTTTTCTCTTGAAGTGTAACAATGTCTATTTTGTAGGCAATTATTATTTTGACAAGATTGTGGCAATGGTAAGTGTGTCTTTTCTCTTAACTTTCCTTGTGTGTAGTTGGTAAATACAAAGAAATGGAACATATTGCTCTCATCAATTTAACATTGCTAATGCCTGTATTACAACAAATTGCATATATACCTTACTGCAGGTTGGTGCACATTTGTGTCTGAGTGAATTCAGCAACTTCACACTGTTTCTTCCTGTTAGGTGGTGAGCTTTCTATATTCAGTAGAGCCTGATGTATTTAGGTCTCCCAGATGACCATGCAGATCACTTTCAATCTTATTAAACTTAATCATTAAGTTTGATCATTTATTTTATTTGGCATCACAGAATCTGAGATCATTCAGGTTAATAATTTATCTATGGAATAGGGGAACTTTAATGCAATTACTTATATAATCCAACTTATTTTTTTACTCTATTTTGTACAGCAACCACAAAGAAAATTCAGAGGTGCCTTTAATACATAGACGCCTGCCCAGCAAAAGTGGAGAAAGAGGCAGAAATGGTCTTTTTGGAATTGAATTTCATTAACTGTATGTCTTTATTTCAAAATTAATTTTAAAATTCAAAGTACATCATCGGGGATGGGGTATTTTCTTCCAAAGCTGACATCAAAAAAATGTTTTTTTAGGCAACACAAAGAAACATTTTCACTTTTTATTTGTTCTTTTGGGAACAATCCTAAGTGTTGTTTTATCATTGTAAGTGATTTTTGTCATAACCAAGTTTCAGAGGTTGCAGCCCTGTCCTCAATGTATTTAATCACTGACACTTTATGTACTCTGATGGAAAGTTTCAGAAAAAAACAAGCTTTTCTTCCAATTTTAGCTGGCGATTTAATCTTCTCGGTCATGCATTGCCACCTGCTTTTTTGATTGTAATGAGTTTTTACAATTCAGTAACTGTATTTGAAAGTAAGAAACCTGGGTTAAAGGAATTGGCTAAATTAAATAATAACTGACAAAATTAAATAAGAAACATTTTGTGACCAATTGTGTAGTAATACACAATTGACAGCTCCTTTTGAGGTTTATGCTTATAATTTTTGCATCAACTTTCATAATTAAATAATACCGTGTCAAATGGTACTGTAGTCAAAGGTTAGGTTGAGTATAAAGTCAACAATGTAGCCGTTTTGAAAAGGAATGGCCAACAAATAATTTATTAAAGAACATTATTTTTACTACTTGTAGCACCTCTACACTTATTAATTTAAATCTATGTCTTTAAAATAAGGCCAAGAATGTAATCTTTTTATCTCAAATAACTCACATTTGCTTTTTACTATCATCTCAGTGCTAGCCAGACCCTAATTTGTTTCACATTTAGTTTAAGTTTAAAAGACATGAGACTGTACCACCAAACCATTCTCTAAATTTGCACAAAGCTTTAACTTTATAAACAATTTCACTGTTATACCATATTTCGAATGTTCTATCGTATTTGCTGTGCAGACTGATCCCACCACCCCCCGCTCTCACTACGACCCAGTTATACTCACTGTATGTAGTGGTACACTTGGTGACAGAGTGTATGGTGGATTTGGTAAGAGGCTTTTGTTGTATTTTCAATTTTTGATATACTGTAACTATCAATATCACTTGTGTTCTGGTTTCTCTTCCAACCTGTTACCCTGTACATTATATAGTATATGGATATGAAATGTAAGATATATTTTACAATATACAGTACATAACAACTTTTGTTACAGAGATCTAATGTGACATTTTACACCAGAGCTCTGCCTTTTTAGCCTTGGGGATCATTTAATTGGTATTTATACAACACATAAAACATTGATATCTCCTCTTGCAGTAATTATGTCTTTACAGTAATCTGCTAAATAGATAAATGCATTGTGAATAAAAATACTTAGGTTTTAATTAATAAAATGTAGTCACACTGAACAGCTCAATGTACTAATGTTGTTCAATATTAGATGTGAGTAACAAAAGTTAAAAAGTCAATATCTTGACTAACAGGGTTTCTAAATGTAAATAGATTGTATTTGCAATTTTATTGTAGGAATCTGAAATTTAAACTAGACATACTGTATTTACTGTATATAGTATCGAACAAGCTCCCAACAATGGGCTTCACATCTTTCACCATGCAGTTTCCTGATTCCCAGTTCTTGCCTCACTACAACCACAGAACAGGGCAGGCTGAAGCTGGGAGGTCTGACTGATTTACCTTGACAGTTCTGTCTTAAAATATTTTCATTTGTAAGGCTTGAGTTTAAAGAGAACTTTTCCTAACTAAACAAGTGTTGTTGTTTTTGTTACAATACCTTTTGTGTATTTGTGTATTCTACAATACCTTCTATTTTCATTGTTATATGAAGTAACTACTTTGTTGTGTTTCATTTAAATTCAAACAGTCATTTGTTACTATCCTAAAGGCTTGTTCTCAAACAATGGATACCAGTGGAAAAAGCAGAGAAGAATTATTCTTTCCACTCTGAGAAACTTTGGACTGGGTAGGAGGTCTTTGGAGTCAGTCATTTCCAATGAGACTAGATTTCTTCAAGAGGCTATAGAGGAAGAACAAGGTAATGACTTGAATTTAAACTATTTTAATTAATTACATTCTGTACTGTTCACTTGAATTAGAACAATGGACAGACCAATAATAACCCCATTTTATGTTTTTAAACCTGTTTATGTTTTAAAGGCAAACCTTTCAATCCTCATCTCTTTCTAAACTGTGCCATTTCCAATATCATCTGCTTTCTGGTTTTTGGACACCGGTTTCATTACAGTGATAACAGTTTAAAATGTGACGGGGCGAGATCCTCAAGACCCCGGGCTCAGGAAGCGGGAGGTGTCAGGGATGAGGCCAATGCCCTCAGGAGACGGATGTAGGGTTTCCTGGTACTAGGCCTCGCGACATCCTTACCCTAATGATGAGCCCTGAGGACTGGAGGAGCTAGTCTTTAAATAATACACCTAAGAAGGTACACCTGGGGAGCTTAATGACAGGAACAATAACAGGAGTAGTGGAGTAGTGGAGCACCCTCTAGGGAGGGATGTCAGGCGTGACAGTACAGGCCCATAATAATGATCAAAGAGCCGATCATTAATACTGTGTATGAAACTGAATCATTTAATAAATTCAAATTCTGTATCAGGGCAGACTCGTATATCCTGTACAGTCCACTAATTGCCACAAATGTAAATTGATAGGGATGTAATAATTTTACCTGTCAGACTACAAAGAATGCAGCAGCAGGATTCCATGAGGAGAACCTGGTCTTGTGCTCTCTGGACCTCTTTATAGCTGGGACTGAGACCACCACCACCTCTCTACGCTGGGCTCTCTTCTACATGATCAAATACCCAGATATACAGAGTGAGTAAGCACAGTGAGCTCCTAAATACTGTACATCAAGCCAGTTGTACCTACAGCACATCAGCCCTCAAGCACGTGAACCAAAAGGCATGCATTAATCAGCACAAACAAAGAATAATATAATATTAAATAAATGCTTTAGCTGGAATTTGTTTCTTTTTGTAATAGATTAATTACATTATTCTATTGAATATACTGCATCTTCTTTTTGGAAAGTACCTCAGAACAGGTTTTAGTATTTTTTAGAATTTATATGATGAAAACTCTTTTTCCATACTTTGCCTCATGCACCTCAGAGAAGGTCCAGGCTGAGACAGACAGAGTGATTGGAAAGGAACGGCAGCACTCCATGGCAGACAGTGCATCTTCCCTACACTGATGCTGTGATCCATGAAACCCAGCGATATGGCAACACTGTTCCCCTGAATGCACCGAGAATGGCCAATAAGGATACAACATTAGGTGGTCACTGAAAACAAAAACTGAAATATGTAGGGTAATATGTGAAATACATGACATAGGGGTGTTATCCCGGCACCCTGGCCAAATTTCCCTTTGGCCTTTATCAATCACGTCCTCGTAATAATCCCCATCTACAGTATGAATTGGCTTCATCACTGTTCTTTTCCCCACTGATAAGTGATGTTTGATGAGCGCACTGGTGCACTGCGACTGCATCATCCAGGTTGTGGTGGAGGGGAGGCTCCATTACCTGTAAAGTGCTTTGAATGGAGTGTCCAAAAAAGTGCTATATAGTGTAAGTGTTATTAATAATATGTTATTATTATTATTATTATTATTATTAATGATTTTAAAAAAGAATGTGTTTTTTACAACATTCCAATTTATAGTTCTGATGAAGCTGATGTCATGGCAATCAATTCTCAAGCTGAAGAAGGCTCTATAGACCTTTTCAGCATGGAATAAACGTTTACTTGTTCCTTTGCAGCCTGAGCATGCTGACGCACCTACCTACTTGGCCTACTTGTTAAAAACAGGTCAATGTAGTAAGATCACATGTTTTTGTTCTAATCAGTAATCATTAATCATTTTTTAATAAATGCCTATTTATTAAAATTTATTAAACCTTAATTACCATACTCTTTGATAACCTAGCTATCTTTCCTGAAATGTATCCTTATCTTTTTCATTTTGGGTTCTGATCAATACATAGTAATTAAACTGCTATTGCCAGGGTTACGAACATCTTTCTTTATAGATTAGAGAGGTTGTTGGTATTACCATAACTTCTTTTAAAGACTTCAATCTTATCTGTCTAATAGAAAACAATTTATTCAATTTGGTGGTTTTAGTACCTATATGCTGAACTAAGTCTGGTTCTTAGTACAGTTCCAGTAGGTATCGTATAAGCTTTCATTTCTACAATGATGACATCGAGATTTAAAATTACACACACCTGCTGTGTTTGTAATCAACCATTGTGGCTATTGATGGTCCTGGTATCAGGTTAGGGATTGGGTCAAAATAACCTGTATTTGGAGTACACATTTACAGTGTTGTGAATGTCACGGATGTTGGAAGGGACAAGCCGCGGAATGGCAGGAGAGTGGAAAAAGACCCTGTGCGAAGCGGCAGAACGGGGAGTTAGCCCGGGCTCAGCAGTGCGAAGAGTTCTGGAGTGCCATATAGAAACCTATGCCCTCAGGCCACGGATGGAGCGGCGACCTGGTGCTAGGCGGGTCTCTGGACATCCGAACATCAATGCTGAGCGAAGGTGAATGAATGACCCGGAAATATATAGCCCCAGAGAGAGAGACACCAGAAGGAGAGCAAAGCACAGGAAACAAGGGACAGGACAGAGTAGGAGCGCCCTCTGGCTGCAGAGGGCGTGACAGTGAAGGTGTTGTTTTTTCATCTTTGTAACATTTCATGTATGTATTGTGGCTTGATTATTGTGATGCAGTGCGTGATGGTGTATCCATACATGTTCCAAACAACTAGTGTCTAGCAGGTGTCTATAACTCGCCTGCTTGGAATTTAATCCAAACTAAAATACAGTTTATATCACCTGTTTTAGCTGTATTGCACTGGCTCCCTGTGTTTTTGAAAATAACATTTAAAACACTGCTACTCTGTCTGATTTATTACATAGTGACTTGAGACAAACCATATTATGTCAAATTAATCTTACATTGACTTTTGGTATTAACTTGTTGTAATGTGATTTTGATCATTGTAAGTTTAATTACGTCTATGAATCATCGCTGCCCTCTGATGAATTCCCTAACCCAATTTTTTGTATGTTTGACAGTTTACTAATTTACAGAAAAACTATTTCTTTCATATACTGTATGCATACCAAGTAACAGTTTTGTTTATTGATTCTAATCTGGGTGATGACAGATTAGTTAATGAAGTACCATTGCAGTTCTAAACCAATAAATAACTGCTATTTATTTTTTAAAGATCTTAATTAGGTTATGATCTTAGTTTTAAACTTAGGTTATACAGTATGTTCTCATGTTTTTATTAAGTCATTTCAACAACAAGGCTAAAAGGAATTTATAAATAATCGATATAAATAAATAGTACTCAAGACACAGATCTTATACAGTACTTATTAGCTCTTAAAAGCTAATATTCCGTTCCATAGAAATCTTATGCAACATAACTTTGCTGCATTATTGCATAACTTTTGTTTGTGCCTTATGGTTTTTCATGCTAATAACCATGCAAAAAAAGACTGACACTTCACTGACACTTCTTTAAATTCATGTTGCTACTGTAGGTGGTGCAAAACCCAGTCAGTGCAGCACTCTGGCCTTCTTTCCATTTCTGCTTGCTTTGAAGAGAGTTTGAAGTATCACAGTGACAATGCTGCTGTATTCCTTGCTGGAATATCTGGATATAAAAAGCTGCATTCTCTTCCTCTTTGTGTTTCTGTTGATTATTGACATCATGATAAATAATAATTTAAAGAATTTTCCTCCAGGTTCCAAGCCTTTTCCCTTGCTGGGAAATGTTTTCACTGCTGTGACATCAGTGAAATTGATAAGGTAATATCAGTGATCAAGTAAACTGAAAGGTTTAAATTTTCAAGATTTGCCTATTTTAAACACTTTGTGCCTCAATTGTGAAACATTCTAAAAAAAATCCTAAATGTTGTCATGTGTTTCATAACTCTGTAGTTTAAATGAATGTTTCATTATATACTGTATATATGAAAACTTGTTTCATTGTGCGTTAGATACCATAAAGTGAATAAAGGGTTTTTAAATATATTCTCTAGCTTGCTGAAAAATATGGCTCTGTCTTCAGTTTGTGGAGGGGAAGAGAAAATACATTTTTTGTGTCCGGTTACAAAATGTTCAAGGAAGCTCTAGTAGACCAAGCAGAAAATTTTGCAGACCGCCCTGTAGTTCCTTTGTTTGACAAAGTCTACCAAGGCCTCGGTAAGGATATTTTCATTTCAAACTATGAAAAATAGCAAGACTTTTTGTCTACCTACCACATAACTCGGGTTCTATAATACAAGTAAAATTATTGCTTTGTTCAAATAATTTACAGCTTAAAAGGACCTATAAAGCAACTCAAATTAAGTAAACAAAACATACTGTAGTTAAGGGGTCACAAAGAATTAAAATAATATGAGAATAGGAGTTGTTCCAAAACAATAAGTAAGATAAACAAAAGAGGTTATTCAGCCTATCTTTCTGTTTTGGTAACTGTAGTTCATTGTAAATTCATAATGTTGCTTATTATGGAAAACTGTAAGGTCATGAAGAATATCATGATTAGAGATCAAAGCAGGATTTAAAAAACACATTTTCTGGGCTTTTAAGTAAAAAATATATGGTAGTTTCATTAGTTTAAATTTTATGTTCTGAAGTTTTTGTGGCCGCACAATTCTACAGACGTGCTGTACTTTTCATAAAATCATTTTACTTTTACTTCATAATAATACTGAACTGAGGTCTGAACCTCTCTCAGAGTCTTTCTGTCATTGCTAAGATTTTTGTGACCTCCCTTAGAACTAATGATTAATTCGGTATATTTTATGAAAATAGATCCAGATAACAAACTATCATTGAATAAGCACTGAAATAACTTTGACAGCCACAGATAGGCATTGATTTATTTTGCTCATTGAATCAATGT